AATTATTAAGGCCCCGATATTAGGTCTTAGAAAGCTGTAACCTCCGAGTCCGACAGGCCTCTGAAACATTATCAAACCCCAGGAGCGTTTTAAGGCTTTGGGGGGGGTTATAGTTTAAGGTTTAGGGTTTAGGAAACCCTAAACCTAAACCCTAAACCCTAAATCGGAAGCCCCTGGAGCCCAAAGCCCAGAACAGAAGTCTTATGGAGCCCTTAAGCGAACCCTTAAAAACCCTGAAACCCTAAATCCCAAACCCTGAACCCTACAAAAAAAAACATGAAACAAGGAACCTTAAACCCTGAACCCTGAAGCCTTAAAACCCTGAATAAATGAACCTCAAACCCTGAACCCTGAACCCGAAACGCAAAAAAAACAATGAACCTTCGGCCCGGCCTGGGTCAGGAGCAAATCCAGGAGATTATCGGCATTGTGCCTGCTGTCACGACGGTCGTCCGCATCCGCCAACATGTCCTGAACTGATCCTAAACCCTATAAACCCTACACCCCCAAACCCCTGAACCCTACACCCTAAACCCTAAATCCTAAACCCCGAAAAACCTTAAACGCTTAAACCTAAACCCTAAATCCCTGAGCTCTAAACCCTAAAACCTAAATCTTAAACGCCGATCAACCCTAAATCCTAAACCCCTCACCCCAGGCTCAGGATTTGCAGGCTTGAAGCCAGCCTCTTAAGATTCGTCTGAAGGTGCCGCAAGGCTTTAGGGTCCAGGGAAATTTGAGGTTTAGGTTTAGGTGTAGCGGATTGAACTGTTCAAAGCTTATTACAAGCGGGTACTACTACAACTGATTCATGCGCCTACATTAAGGGCAGTATACGGTGGAAGGCAACAGGGCTTGAACTACTGTCTATCTGGCTTCATACGGTCATAGGCCATAAGGGAACTGTAACAGTTTAAAGGCGTTGAAATATTGAGATCCATACCTCAAGAGGGCACCGTAGAGTCCGTTGAATATAGGACGAAGCCGTTCAAGCCCCCAACCTCAACCCTACCCTAAATGAATGAATAGTTCTCTTAATTAGGGTCCCTTTTCTAGAACCCCAGATAGTACGTCCCCGCTATAACAAGGACCCTGAAAGGGACCCTAATCTAGAGAACCACCCAAATGCTAAACCCTCAACCCTAGCGGATTTGTAACATCCTCGACGACCAGCGGCCCTATGAAAACCAGGTTCACAACACTGCTTAAGGGCTCAAGGGACTTAGTAAGTAAGGTTGTATTTGGGGTTATAACAAGTTCCCTACGTGTTATGCTAGGTATAACCTTACTTACTGCGTCCAACGAGCCTTAAAGCGAGTATGTAGGGCGGGCTCGGGCGGGGATGAGGTTTACGTTGACGGCCTATATGAGTTGGGGTCAGGCGTGTTACTGGGTGATGAATATTCATAGCGGGATTCGAAGATGATAGAAGCATGCTAAGTGGGGTGGCTTCCAGCGGGGCATAGCAGAACTCGTCAGATGGGACTGGAGCGGCCTCTGAGTTGGCTGGTTCTGCGGTGCTTGTTCCTGCGGAGGCGGTGGCGTCTCTGGCACCAGATAGCCGTCATCATTGGTGTAGGCCTGCCAGGGGACAATCTCCTGGAAGAAGTGGCGTTCATGGCGTCCGCAGGTCTTGAGGGCTCCTCGCAGGAAAAATTTGGCATGCGTAGCTGTGCGTTCCCAGGAGCCTGTACCCTGCTGGGCCGAGCCATCTTTCAGGTCGCCAGGGTACCCACTGCTGCACGTCCCCTCCAGACCACCGAAGAGGCAGGTTCCGCACATAGAGGCGGAGAGCCATGCCGAAAACCTAGAGCTGTCCTGTGTGTGTCGTGTCTGCTGCCTTAAACCTTGAGCCCCTGACATCTGGGATTCCTAGACGAGAAGCGCTCAACCCCGTGTTATATGATCCTTCCGAAACTTCCGAGCCGTGACAATCGCGAACGCTCGAAATACCACAAAACCATGAACAGTAAATGCTCACCCCTGAGTTTTAGGGCTTAACCTTGAACTCTAAGCCCTAAAACCCTTAACGTTTGCGGCTTCGGGGTTTGGGGAGATTTCTTGAAAGATAGGGGTACCAAAGTGGGGCATCCTGGCTGGGCCATGTTGTTTCATCTCCATAAACGTTGAGGGCTTGGGGTTTCAAGTTTAGGCCCTTGTACACAACAAACCCATCCTAAATCCTAAACCGAGTGTGCGAGCCCATAAGCCGTAAGCCAAACAAAGCAAACACTCCAAACCCCAAACCCAAAACCCTAAACCCTACTAAACTGGAAAGCCGAACACCAAAACCCGATGGCAGAACAACCCTGTAAGCCTACAACCCCTAAACCCTAGACAAACCCTAAGCCCTAAACAAACCTTCAACCCGAAACCCTAAACAGACTCTAAGCCCCAAAGCCTAAACAAACCCTGAGCCCTAAGCGCAAATCCGAGACAAAGGCAAGCTTTTCAGGGTTCCCCTAAACCCCAAAAACCTTGGCCCGTGAACCCTAAACCCTATAAACCCTAGACCCTAAACCTATAAACCCTGACGGCAGGCAAGGCGCGAAGACTTCGTTGATGAAGATGGGCGTATAGCCTCCGGGCAACTTCGGGCGTGAAAGAGGGGTTTAATGGTTTAAAGGGGTATAGGGTTCAGGGTTTAGGATTTAGGGTTTAGGTTTAAAGGGTTATAGGGTTTAGGG